CCACTGCGTGATGATGTAGGCCCAAGACTTGGACACACCGACGCAGTCTTAAAGAATATGGAAGAGTCCTTCGTATTGCCCGGCACAGGTCACATGCCACTTGCATGTCGAGTCCATGTTGCGTCCCGAAAAAAAGTACAGTACAGATTCAACTGATGGGGAGCTACTCTGTAGCATACCCAGACCGTGAGAATGTATCCGTGTTCCCAGAGATGTGCCGGTGATTGCGACATCGAGAAGTGGGTGCCGTCCTTTGAGCCGTCTCGGTGTTGTAGCTTGGTGAGTACCGCCGTAAGTGATGGATATAGCTATCGTTGGCGCAATGGAACGGTTGGCATTGTAGCGCCTTGTTAGCGTGCATGTTGTTGATGGAGTGTAGGGGACTCCATGGGAACCCATGTAGCTGCGGATGTGCTGTGAATACTAGCGCCGTGTTCCGTGTTCGCTGTTGTAGATTTACCAGCTCCTGTGGATCACTTCGGGCACATCGGTCATGTGATCAATGATCCAATGAGCTTTATTGTTGGAGGATGATAAGAGAGGTTGCCGCCGGCGTGTGCTTGCTAGCGCCCGTGTGTAACCTCCTGACTTATTTATTGTTCACGTGTACTTGTTCAGTATCTCTGGTCCGTTCCGCGGCGTTAGCTGAGCCGGTATTTGCAGTTTATTCGCCGGAACTCAGCTAGCGTGCAGGCGTGTAGCAGTGGATACACAAGCGTGTAAGAGTCAGGATGTTTTCATTTACGTGGTCCAACCTGATGGCCATGTCACTAGACGCTTCAGAGATTCTTCACGATGCTGTTTGTATTGATTGTCCATTCTTCTTGCCTCCATGCAATTGACTGCCACTCTAATTTTTCGTTGTGGAGCCATTAGCGTGCTGTTTCTTCCCAGTGATGGATAGTGCCGGTGACATGCTCTAGTTAGCTGAGTCCTTTATATCTTGGAATGACAACGCTGCGACAAGTTTATCATTGATCACGTAGGCTTGATGTATCATTGCTGGATGTGAATGAAGTCTGTCGTGTGCTGACAATGCGTAAGTCGAGACGACAAGCTTTACCTCCCATTCCAGTCATCCACGGCTGTGTAGCATCTTTATGTGGTCGAATTGTACCTGAGCCTGCAGCTTCCACCACCATTACCACCTTCCTGACTTACTCTACCTCCTCAAAGTCGTACAAGTGAAAAAGCAAGTTCTACTTGGTCAATGCAGCAGCTCGTAGCTAACAAGTGTCCTTTTCAACGTAGGGTACAAGTCTATCAAGACATACAATAGACGGTTCGAGCAGCCAGACTGTGTACAGAAGCACCTTACTGCGAAAGCGACACGAATGAAAACAAGACAGTAATGGCATTACCAATGCCAAGCACCGTCCGCGTCATGTCGTCATTTTACGCGAAGCGCTTGTACTAGCGTTCGTGCTCAACTTGTGCTGCCAGGCATTCGAAAGAAAGAGACATCTGCACCATGGTATTGCAAGTAACGTCCGTGACGACACCCCGAAAGTTTCAAGAAGCCAAGACGATTCGTCTTTATGTCAGCAGCTTATTGAAACAGAACAATTGGTGCAGATTGAGATCAGACATCACTTTCGAAAACACTTTAAAGTTGACATGTCTCTCATTGTGACTCCCGTGACGACATCCGATGAGATGCAGCAAGCGATGGTCCTGCGACGGAGAGTGTTCATCGACGAGCAAGGAATCCGTGAAGTTGTGGAGATGGAGGACCCCCACGACGACGAGCCGAGTACAATTCACTTTGTAGGCAAATACTCCGAGACGGGCGAATATGTGGCGGTGGCTCGCTGTCTACTCGACGAACTCAATCGCAAGGCCAAATTCGGTCGTGTGGCGGTGCTGGCAGAATATCGGGGCAAGAATCTTGGTGCACAGCTAATGGACGCCATCGAAAAGCATGTGCGTGACCGTGTCGACATGTTTGCGCTGTCCTCGCAGTACGGACGGAAAAGGTTCTACGAGAAGTGCGGCTACAGCTGCACGAGCGACGAGATCTACTTGGAAGAAGACATAGAGCACTGTTACATGGTCAAGCCGGCTACAAAGACTGACTAGAACGAGATGAAGCACCTTACCACTACAGGGCTCTGCATTATAATTGACCAGTTTCCGCTTTTGACTTGATCACGATTTCACCATCAAAAGCTTAGTCTTCTGCGAGCATATTTAGTATTCTTGAATCAACTGACGACCGTATTCCGATGCTCCTAGGACCACAGCTTCTTCAGGATTAAAGCTCTTGGTTTTGAAAGCAGGACGCTTGAAATATGCTTCCAGCTGCTGTCGCATGAACTTGGACTTCGCACCTCCACCGATGAATACAAATCCACTGAGATCTTGTTTTGACACACCAGCGTCGTAAAGCGCGTGGTCGCAGAGTGCGATGGCGTCGCGAGCTAAGCTTTCCTGTACATGTGCAAGACTGAATGCTGTAATCGTATGCACCAAGTGCTTTGCTCCCTTTCGGTCTGCTGTGATGAACGGCAAATTAATGCCCGAGCTCAAGCGACTTGACAACTCGATTTTTGCCGACTCCACAGCTTCTAGAATGCGATAGCTGGCCATGTAATCAACAGACAGATCAATGCCGTGGTCCTCCTTGAATTTCTCCACCACTGAACGGAACAGAAGCTCGTTCACTAGATGACCTGAGACGGCGACGGTCGACATCGTATGTAGCACACTGAACCCAATACCATGCCGTTCTTTCTCGAGCAGTGATACCGTCGAGACATATCCACCAATGTCGAGCACTGCGATGGGTCCCCTGGAAGACAAGATTTCAGGACTATGCAGCTCCTCCATTACGCATCTCTGCACAGCATGCAGAGCAGCCACTGGCTCATCAATAGCAGCGATGACATTGAACCCTGCACTGTTGGCCACTTGTTCATACTCTGCACGCTCTTGTTCATTCGTCCCCGCTGGAACTGCAAGGACAGCAGATAAGTTTTTCATCGGATCGTCTCCTAACGAAGTCACTGCCGTTGTATGCAAATAATCCAGCATCATCTCGGCCGCCCACTACGAATACACATAGATACATTAGTCAAGTTTATCAAGACTTGTACACCATAAAAGCTCTTGAAACCACCTCGGGACTGTACGTCTTGCCATCGAGTCTAGCTCGAATATATCACCTCTCTGATGCACTCTGTATGGCAATTTCTTGATCAGTTTCTCCCGCTCTATCTTCTCAATTGTATCAACAAGCAATAGTCGTGTGGCTGTTGCAGTGTAGCCATGTTTTCGACCCTGTAATGACTTGGCAATGGCTCCCACTGAGATGCTGTCGTTGTCTACTGCCACAGCTGCAGGTATCGCTCGAAGTCCATCCGCGCTTTCAATCACCCGCGCAGAGACTGCAAAATCACGTAATGAGGCTGTAGCAATGCGTAGATTCGAAGAACCGACGTCTACGCCCAGTATTTGCTGCACTTCGTTCAAAGATGACGCGTGTTTGTCACTTTTATCATCGTCTTTGTCCTCAAAAAGGCCGGCACGACGTCGACGCACCCGCTCTTGAACCCGCATGATGTAACGAGTACCAATAAACATCCCTGCACATGTTAGACCGACAGGAACGAGCCATGGTTGCGGCTGCGTCGAGTGGAAGTGGCGCACGGCCGTGGGACGCATTGACGAGAGGAAGAGGATATGTGCCATGATATGATTGGCTGAAAAACGGCACTTTGCAAGACGATTTGATTGGAAGAGCCGGCATAGCCCCTGAGACGGTACCAAACAGCGACATACCACATGTCTCAGCTTGAACTTGAAGAATGACTCAGACGATATTATAGAAAAAAATAGAACATCAAATGATTCGAGGTTCTATAGATTCGAGGTTTCTATCGATTCGAGGTTTCTATCGATTCGAGGTTCTATAGATTCCTATTGTTAAGCTGTGTCTCTCTTCCTCGACGTCTCTTCTTTATTGTTGTGGCCGTAGCTTCTTTTTCTGCGTCAGTGCTGCCGAGAAGTAACAAATGACGAGTGGATGAAGAAGCAGCAATCAAGTCAATACGCTCCTCCTCGGGGATATACGCATACATGACGCCATCCGTAATGGAAGATTTGGTACGTTTCCAGACTGTTAGGGTGTCCATGCTAGAGTGCCAGGACGGCAGCGGTACTTGCAATACTTTATGGTACACAGTAGCCAGGTGAGTCTGGAACTCCTCGGACGACGTTCTGCCCCTAAGACATTGGCATTCTTAGTCAAGTGATGCAAAGCTTTGATCGAAAACAAATCCTTACCATGCGCCTGGAAGGCAAAGGGTTTGACCAAATAGCTCGCCAACGTGAATCACAGTATTGCCTGCATAATTGCAAAGACTTGCCATCGCCATGGACTCATGGCTGTCCTCAAAATCGTCGGGATAGCACAGAAACAGCGCACGGTCTGCATGTTTGTGCAAATCCTGTTCACCCACAGCAGCATAGTCAAGTATGCGTAAGCCCAACGGAAAAAAAATCCAACAATATACGACGCACCTTTGGTGTCCCTTTGATCACTTCTGTCCAATAGACTTGTTCTATCTCCACCTCTTCTTCGTTCTCGTCCTCGCTTTCCTCTTCATTTTCTTCGTAATCTCCTTCGTCCAGTTCTTCATCCGCTTCATCACCACCACTTCCTTGTGTTCCTTCTGCTTCACCAAGACTCTCTTCCCCACTCGTAGCAGCAGTTTTGCCAACATCCTTCTCCTCACCCTCGTCCTCATCCTCCTCTTCGTCACCAGCAACATGCAAATCATAGGCAACGATATCGACGCCACGAAGCTGCAGCAGTCGAGCCCAATACCCGCTGCCAGCTCCCATCTCGACAATCTGTCAACAGATTTTACAGCGACTTAGTCCATGACAGCTCCACATTCAACGCAAAATAGCAGCTCACCGGCCCGTAATGCTTGATAATCTGCAGTGCACGCTCATCTGGAATAGCCCACGAGTATTTCTGCAGGTTTGTATACGTTCATCGTAACGAATTAGCACTAAAAATCGATGGAGACGCAACATTTCACAAATCACACCATTGCAACCCCCACGTCCAGCGCCGAGTACATTTCAGAGCGCACTTCATCGCTCAGTTCCGGGTCAAACACTGTCGTAAGTTCTCGTGGATGATCTTTCACAAACTCACGGTAGAAATGGAGGTACGGATTGCTCGTGGCCGTCAGCTCAAGTGTCTCCGAGTGATTCATGTCGATGATACGCGCGAGTTCCACAATAGACGTATTGATTGGTTAAGATGGCATGTTAACATGGCTACATTAGTACACCTTCAACTAGTGTTGCCAAGCTTGACAAGTTTAGACCGATAGCAAATGTTGATTCTCCCCGTCGTGTCTCGATGGTGGTGATAAGCTTGAGAAGCTGCACGAAGACAGCGATCGGTAACGTGTGTTAACACGAGTACCAAAGAAGAACACGACGAGCAATAGCACAGCAAGGCAAATACCAAATGCCGTGAATGTACTACAAATCTTCAGACCAATCGGTAGAGATCCACCAGCGACAGACACCACTGCAACCAGAACAGCGTACGGGAGAATACTGCGAATGTGGTTCTCCAGAGGCACATGTGCCGAGAGAGACGCCAAGATTGACGTATCAGCGATGGGCGAACAAGTGTTACCGAACACGGAGCCACCCAGAATACTGCCAAAGCATTGACGCAAGTTATCAGCGTCTCCACCGCTGATAGACCACGAAAGCGGTGCAATGATCGGAAACATGATAGCCATCGTCCCAAATGCACTGCCCACAGCAAACGACACGATATAGCACAGAAGACATGCGATCGCTGGAAGGAATTGCTTTGGAATTGAGTCTTCGACCACTGAAGCAATGTACGGAGCTGTGTTCACTTCAGCAATGATCGAGCCAAGAGCCCACGCAAGGGTGAGAATCAAGGTAGGGTCAAGAATATCCTTAACTCCTTCCATCCAAGCCTTTGTGGCTTCGTTCAGCGTGATAATATGCTGCATTAGCAATAACGTAACAGCAATGACCCAGCCAGCAGCAGATGCGCGGATCAGAGAGGACACTGAGTCACAGTGACTCAACGCATCCAAAATACCATACGAACCATTGGGATCCTTAGTATACAGGACGTCGAAACCATCGAAAACCATGCCCACAAACGTCAACACGACGATGCTCAGGAATGGCAACACCGCATTTTGCCATCGAAGTGGCTTAGTTATATCAGGTTCCAACGGGGCAAGTTCTGGCTTTGGGCTGTCCATTGGTCCTGGGAAAACTGGAGTCGCGGAACCATTATTAGTAATCGGGGATGCTGCTGCATCCTTCTCGAACTGTACCATTGGGCCGAAGTCCTTCTCGCAAATGATCGTGATGAAAATGAAAGCGATGAATAGAATCGGAAAGAATCGGTAATGCAAACACGAAAGGCACGTGACGAACGGATCCCAATCGAGCTTGAGGTCGCGGAGCTGTGCCGCCACATAGCCGATTTCGACACCAATCCATGAGCTTACTGGAGCTGTGTACACAACAAGTTTTATACGCAGTCAGCTGCGTGTACAACCACAAGACTGCTACTGGCAATTAAGAAGCAGCACACTTACACATAGATGGCAAGCAGACGCCGATAGTATGGATGATTGCCGCAAACTTTTCACGGCTAACGCCCGTCTGGCTCAGTACTTGACGAAGCGAGCTTCCAACAATAAGGATGCATGAGTAGTCGTCAAAGAAGATGACAAGACACAGCAGCCAAGTTGATAGTTGCATGCGCAGCGACGACGTCATAAACGTCTTGGCAACCAGCGCCAACCCGTGACCTCCTCCACCCTTCTGGACCACACCAATGGTTCCACCGAGTATGATCGTGAACAGCAGCACACCAGCATGATCATTCACCGTGAAAGCACTAACCCAATACTGGTCGAATGTACGCAAAAAAGCAACGAATGGGTTTCCATTCGAAACAATGATAGCACCACACCAGATACCAGCTAGGAGCGACACTGTGACTTGGCCTAGCACGGCTGACATGAGCAAAGTCACCAGCGGTGGAAGCAATGAAATCCATCCAGGTGATACAGCCACAAAAGTTGTGTGCACCGCTCGGAATAGCAGCATCTCGTCGAACACAATCGTTGGAGGCCGGATCATCGACGCCTTGGCGTCCGTCTCATTCAATTGAGGGATCTTCACAGGCTCAGGCTCAGGTGCAGGAGCAGGATCAGCTATATGTTCCTGCTTCTCCCATACCGTCGTAGTGAGACTGTGCTGTCCGTACGACGTCAACTGCATCTGCTTGATAGCAATTGACAGCTGCGACTGGTAATTGCCCTCGCCATCGAGCGTTTTGACGCTGCCATTGGTCAGTACTGCTCCCTCCTCGTCCTCTATCCTGTACCATAAATGTCTTGGATACACAGAGCCTAAGGGACATGCAGCATTAGTTATGCTATACAAAGTGGTAACACAATGACAAGTCGATACGGACCATTCTTTAGCTCTGGTAGCTCAATCGACGCCTCGAAATTCACCTGCTGCAAGATCACAGTCGGAATCTTCAAAGAGATAGAGCTCGTGGGAATGCCGTGAGCATTGCATAAGCAAGCCACCGCTAGCGCGAGCATGAAGAGACGCAAAAAGCTCATCGATCCACACAAATGAGACCGATCCAATTGCTCACCTCGATTTACAGTTATGCTTTTCACTCGATGGGTAATTTTATATAAGATATAGAAAAATATTAAACCGTAGAGGGAAATATGCTTAGAAAGGCTGCTGCCTGCAACATTACAGTACACTAACGGAAAAGTACGATACACTTCAACTTGACCACTTCAACTAAGTAAGTACATGTAATCGAGGACTTTTAAGTAGTTGGCATTTGATTCTAGACATTATTACGCTGCAAGTGCACGTGTAGCCCTTGAGTTCGCTCGACGTAACATTGGCATGAGATTTGTCCATCGAAACATCTGTGAGAGGATGCACGTGGAAAACCACACGGTCACAAGTAGACAGATTGATGACTCCGAGCTGAAGAAACTGAAAAGTTGAGCCTTATCATAGAGAGGAGCAGTTAGCTGTCCAAATACGGACGTGATGAATCTGCAACAGTGCTCCAACAAATTACAATTAGACAAGGCATCATCTCTTTCAATGCAAAATTGAACCCAGCAACGTACAGGTTGTGAGTGGCGTGGTAGACAACACTTGACCAAATGACGTAGCTGGAGTTGCCTTGTATCCAGCACATTATGATTCGAGAACCAACGAGAAGCAGTGTAAATACCGCCATCACATAGAGAAGGTGAAAATCGCGCGTTTCAGCAACTGAGTAGCCAGAGCCCTTGGGCACTACATCCAGTGCGTCGGCAATAATCATTGGCCAGTGCCATAGTGCCCAGATGCACCCAGTAATAGCCGACGCAAGGATGGTCGAGTGGCTAAATACAATCTCTAGCGCTATCTCAAGTACAATATAGTAATGGTCAACGGGTTAGCAGAACGGTATCTTCGTGCGGCGCAATAGCAGATAGCGTACCTGGAAACAAGGATCCACTCCATCCAATCTCCTGGATCATTGCAAAGACAAACCAACTTGTACCTAAAAACAATACGGGTGAGCAAAGTGAGTAACACTAGACCGCAAAGCTAAAAGTAGGGGAAAATCAACAGAGTAAGATCGCACCACAAGGTCGGATTCCCATCGATAGCCCAACGTCGTATCGCTGTGGCGGCACTGGATCCCAAAAAATTCCAAAAAGGCTGATGTAAAACACGTAAAACACCAGCCCAGAGTCCAGTGCTTCGACGTCATTGAAGCTGAATACCATCTCCAGTTTTCGAACAAAGGTGCGATTGAACTGCAGGAATGAGCAGTGACGTGAGTAACCCATGCAAATAATCCTATTAAGAACATATTGGACGTACTGGGTTGACCATCCTGGCTGCAGCAGTAAGCGAAAATGCCGCTAATTCACACAGCACTGGAACTGCATAGCTCAAGAGTGCAAGCCGAAGTGTGGATCTTGACGAGTGGGAGCTTCTGAACAAATGACACAGAGGCGGAATGTTCCAATGTGGTGGTGTATTGCATGCCTGGAGTCTCAACTTTGCAACTAAACAAGCAACGATACTGTTTATCAGATTGTCCCATATTCAAAGGGTCCATCAGCTCCATGATATCACGTACTATTGCGCAGAGCAAGAGATGCAACAGCTGGACTTATGAACCACAGAAAGCGGAAGCCAAACACGATAGCCGTGTTAGGTAAGATCCCCCATTGCTTACAGAATACCAGACCAGTGAGTGAAAGTACCACCATTGAATAAAGAGCTACCAAATAGGCAATGACAGCGTCACGATAGGCCCACATGACATCAGCTGAGAACATTCCATGGAAAAAGTAATTGGATGAACCTCGGTCATTCCGATGATGGTACTGATGCGCTGGCTGCACGAGTGGATAATACTCGTCCCAGATATTCTTGCCGTCTCGTTCAGCCTTCTTTGTCATGACGGGTACAGTAGGTATTGGACCTACTAATGCACTAGCAGCGGCTCTTGTCTCGAGCAGTGGGTCGGTCCCCAAGTCCGCGATGGTACCGTAAGTGCGAGCAGACGCGGAGCTGGGCACGTAACTCATGGTCTTGCTGGTGGTACTGCTACTGCCATGACTACGCTTTTCCATAGCCACGATGAAGACAGGAGAAGTTACTTGGTGATTGATAGAGGAGTCACGTGACAAGGAGTCTCTTTGAAGGGCTTGATGACTAGTACAGTCAATAGAAGACCACACTATAAGATAAAAGTGATCCAGCGTTTCATAGTACATTCATATGAAGCGACATTGCACAACATTTATAAAAATAGAATGTTAGGAGCGCCCTTCGCGCGACATAAATATCTGCTGTCCATTTTTTTAATATGTTTAAGAATAGTAATTGCTAGTATTATCTTACTTGATACGCGCCATATCATTTCATATCATTTCAGTATCATTAACTACTAAACCCGGGTCAGTGACCAAGTGATTTTGGTTACAAGGTGCGATGAATACTTCAAGAATCAAAGCTACTAGTATCCCATAGTAGCAATAAAATATCCTGGGTTGAGCGACAGAGTCCATCCTGTTCTTTATGGTCTTCATAATGTCACGTTCCTTCGGTAGAGATCCGTCTCACTTATTAGCTGCCGCCTCAACTGCAATTGAGTAGCCACAATTTTTTTTACAATTCTTCCTCTACGAAGATTCTTTCGTCTTCATGTTGTAGAGCTTCGAATACCAATTCCACGTCTTTGCCAGACCCTGTTCCAATGGAGTCGTCGGTTTGTAGCCTAGCAACCGCTCCGCCTTCGAGATATCGGCACTTGTACGTTGCACGTCACCTGGCTGGTCTGGCAGGATATTGATCTTTGCTTTCTTGCCCACAAGTCCCTCGATAATCGAAATGAAGTCCTCTAATAGCACGGGTGTGCCTCGACCGAGATTAAACACCTCACAGCCATGACCACGATCCAGACTCAGCACAACACCCTGTACGATGTCGTCGATAAACGTATAGTCACGCGAAGAAGAGCCGTCTCCATACTGATCTATGGCCACATCACGGGCAATGCGGTCCATGAACTTGAATGGTGCCATATCGGGGCGACCACGTGGTCCGTAAACCGTAAAGAAGCGCAGTCCGATAGTGTCCAGACCGTACAGGTGATGATACGTATGCGCTAGCAGCTCGCAGCTCTTCTTGGTCGCGGCATACGGACTCACAGGAAAATCCACAATGTCCTCTTCACTGAACCGTTCCTTCATGCTGCCGCCGTACACTGAGCTGCTGCTCGCATACACAAACTTCTTGATATCAAACTCGCGGCACGCGTCCAACATCACCATCGTAGCCACCGCGTTCGCCTGGATGTACATGAGCGGGCTGTCGATGCTCGGACGTACACCAGCACGGGCGGCTAGATGCACCACCGAGTTGGCCTTGGTCTCCTTAAATACACGGTGTACGAACTGCTGATCGCACAAGTCACCAATGTACACACTCACTCGGCTGCTGTATATATTCGTGAGCCAATCGAGGTTGCTCTGTTTGAGTTTTACATCGTAGTAGTCATTGAGCTCATCAATGATAATGACATCGTCTCCACGAGCCAAAAGTGCCTTGGCGGTGTGGAAACCGATGAATCCAGCAGCACCAGTCACAAGGACACGACAATGTGAATCTGCTATAATGCACGTGTTGATAGTGGCTAGTATGTCCGATACTACTGCATATGGGGTGGGAGGCATAGCTAAAAGTGTGTGCCTATGCTGAGGCCTGGGAAATTCAAAAGTGAACGTCAATATCAATCGACAGTCATTCTGATAATACTGTAAACATAGTAAACAAAAAAGATCACTTGTCCCGTCCGTGCAACGAACAATGGGACCATTACGTAACAATCGGTGGCACTAGCCCGTTACTAAGAAAATTGATTCATTTACAAATTTTAGCATGTCGATAATGCTGCAAAGTAGTATTTTGGCTAAATTGCTTACTATTATTCCCTAGAAAAGAGGCAGATGTCTAATGTACCGTGCTCCTGCTATCATCCTACACCGAGGCTTTTGACGAGGCAAGGTGTTTCTCACATGGTAGCAGGTTATTTCTGGATTCAGCAGAGATATGTGATGACTTGACACGATCGCAACGGCATCAGTTATGGTCTTACCAATCTAATCATACACAACCAGCGCTTTAGTAGTAATATCAATTAAGACTTTGTCCTGCTTGATGTTCAACAGTCCGCGGCCAATGAGGAACAGGAAAACGACGGTGGCGTCTGCCGGATGTTAGATTCGCTGAGTACATGCTTGATGGTCCACACCGTTGGTCTCCGCTGCGTCTTTCGCTTGTTTCGCTCGCTAAGGAATGATCTTGGAGTCAACGGTGTGTAACCCACGCGACGTCAATCAAGCAGCTGTCTCTAAAGCCCAAGTCGAAGTTTATGCCGGACTGGTGACGTGCACGAGCTTTGAGGTCCGGCGAGATGCGCCTAAGGGGCGGCAAGTTAAACGCATACGACGCGCACCCAGGGCTACATATTCAACGACGACGGATTGTGAAAACAAACAGGAGAGACGGGTAGGCAGTAATTTATCAGTTCAACTCGTTTCAATTGCGTAGCGATATAGTAAACAAAATGTTAATGACTCCAGCATCTCCTGGCGATTGACTATAAGCTACTTTTTGTCTGCAGTTGCTATTATAGACGGAGGATCAGGAAGGGGATTGCTTATGGACCACATATACAATTAAAAAGATATGTCCAGGTATTTCTTCTCTTCCGATCAACTACCGTGTGCCCTTCCAGGCCAACGCCACGTGTTGGTGAAGATGCTCTTCTCGCTCCTGCTTTAGCGCAGCGCTGTTGGTCTTCTTCTCGGCGGGTGGATGCGACGCAGTGTAGCGAGCGTAGCTGGCGATGCCGGCAGATGCAAGTGCCAATGGCACAACGGCCAGGGTCGCATTCTTGGAGCTCATGGCGGAGGCGATGGAGGACAGCGTCATCACGACGGGATGATTTCAGGTGAGATCCTTGGCAAATTTCAGCGACTGTGGGCTGCTTCGATGTTCATATGGAGCGTCAGTAAGCCAATCGTGTCCAAGCAAAACAGAGACGAGGCTAGAGATTTATTCGGCAGAATGTTGGTAGTACGAGTGCAGAAACAGGTTATGTATCTAGGAATGATTGCGACACCAATAGCGTGACGAAGCGGCGTCATCAGAAAGTGAAACATAGCTCAGGGCAGAAAACTACTATACAGCCTACCAGCGTATAGTAGTTTTTTGACATTGTACAGGGTGTTGTGCTGAGTCTGGACCGTGGTCATGGCTGCGAGGTGTTTAATCTCGGTCGAGGCACACCCGTGCTATAGCGGACTTTATTTCGATTATCGAGGGACTTGTGGGCAAGAAAGCAAAGATCAATATCCTGCCAGACCAGCCAGGTGACGTGCAACGTACAAGTGCCGATATCTCGAAGGTGGAGCGGTTGCTTGGCTACAAACCGACGACTCCATTGGAATAGGGTCTGGCAACGACGTGGAATTGGTATTCGAAGCTCTACAACACGAAGACGAAAGAGTCGATGATCGAGCAAGCTTAAATTTGGAGCCCGATACAAGTTGCTCCAAATTTAAGCTTGCTCGATCATCTACTGGTATTATCTACCCACATGTTGATCTCGTACCCCGTGCCACGTACACGAAGTACAACCGCTTCCTGGAGCTTTGTCCTCATGGATGCTGAGCCGGACTACTGCACATTACTACAAACGTGCTAAGAACGTTGTCAAAGTAAAGCAGCACAAGTATATTGCAGACAAGATCGTTGCTTGGCGAGGCTGACACATGGTATTCAAGTACTACCGCAGTTCAAGTCAACTTAAAGTTCTTGCTGTTCAAATCGAGACAAGGTCTCGAGTCGGGCTCGAGTGATTCGTTGACATCGGAATCAGTGTGCAAGGTGGACCAGTTGACATGATGGCGACCTCGCTCACTTTATCACGTTGCTGCCAGCACTGCGAGCAAGCAACCATGCTGGATTATAAAGTAGTGAGTGATACCCGCACAAGCTTTACAGGTCCCCAAGAATGTCAGCTTCGAGGTCGTCCAGCTGCTCGCACGAAGTTTTAGTCAGGACCAAGCATAACTGGCAGTAATTATCAAGACTCACCTCTTCATCCTCCTCGTCTTCTGCGTTTTCAGCTCCACCAATCTGTTCGGGAGGGGCGATTCGCATTCGCTTCTCTTCAGGCCTTGCTGCAACAGGATCTGAGTCATGCGTTCGTTTGCCATTGTCCTTTTCAGCCCGTCGGGTCGACAGCCGGTCCTTGATGTTACTCGATGATTGCTTACGCTTTTGTTCCTCTTCATTTTCACGCTCCTCAGCCTCAATGAGCCGCATAAAAGCATCATCTACATCCTGTTTGCCACCCAAATCTCACCACACTCGTGAACAAAAAAGAAAGAGTCTAACCAGAAGCATCTTATGCTACGTACCCTCGATGGAGACACTATACGCGCTGGAGCTTTCTTCGCGTCTTTAACCTTCTTGGCCTTGATGATGGTGGTTGGTTCACGCTTCGTCGCTTTAATTTTGGACAAAAAATCAAACGTACGGCCAGTTGCTACGACACCAGTTGCGACAGCACCACTAGCACCAGCATTACGAGCACGACTAGCGCCAGACGACCTACGAACTACTCGAGACCTCCTCACTGTGTTTGACTTATGCGCAGTGCTGTCTTCGTCGGGAAGTTCACCCGAGTCGTCAATAGCCTTCGCAAACGTGACTTGCCCACCGCATTTCGCACCACCTAGTTCTCGTTTGACAAGAATACTTGCAACCGGCTTACTCTCAGTAGCAACTGCAACGGCTGCAGACGACTGGTCTTCATTTACATCACTATCAGGAACCGTTGGCGTTGCACTTGGTATATCAGAGGGTGCATCTTCGGAAAGCATACTTGTGTCTGCTTCATCGTTTTGTACAGGTTCTTTGCTTATCTGCTTCGCCTTCCATTCGTCTGCGAGGAAATCCTGTTCGGGGACGTGAGACCATGTACGAGCACACTTCATGATCCAATCGGGCGTCACAATCATCACCCCGTCAATCGTTTTCGCCTACATCAAGCAGATTTAAAGAGTGTCAAGCCGCAACCTCGTTGCATTGAATGGAGGGCGGCAGTCACAAACCTGAACGTGCTTTTGCGTTCCTAAGCGCTCTGGATGGATCACAAGATGGGTCAGCGGAAAATCTGTCAACGTCATGCTAGGAGTTGCGCCCAAATCCACCGATAGGCGCCACAGATAGTGTGACTCATGGCTTTGAGGCCCAACAATCGGGAACACTCCACTGAATACTATATAGCAGCCATGCAAGATAGCCCGTTTTTGCTGAACCACGTCATAATTAGATATACCAGGACACAACCTTTCACAAGAAAGATTGACAGCGCACCTCGCTCAAAATTGCTTTAACGTCACGGCCTTTACCAGCCATTTGATCTTCGGCGGTTGTACCTCGCATACCGTTCTCATAACCCGCATAGAAAGCTTCGTGAACATGCTAAGGGACAAGGAAACAAATCAATCAGAAATGAGCATCGTTGATTCTGCAAGCAGCAACCACCCGAGTTATCCAATTCAATTGTACCTTCAAAACTGTTGTTGATTGTGCAAGATGCCTGTCCTCACGAGCCTCAGCCTCCGAATCTTCCAAGCCTGCCACACCACGCCCTGACGCGTTGTTAATCTCGGAAGTGCACTTAAAATAGTGATACGGCTCAATTAGAAACACATTCCATTCGTTATCCTTCCACACGTCGATTCGGTCATCAAGAACAAGGATCATCGAGTCGTCGCACGAAGGAAAAAGCAATTTGAGTGACTTGTGAAGCATGTCTGGCGTATCAGTACGTGCCACAATACGGTTCATGAAGTATGTTTCATCCGGATCAATGATCTTTACAATCTGTTCAGCATACAGCCGCGTGCCGTGCGTGTAAATGAACAAATCGTACAGCACTGAAAGCTCCGTCAAGAACTCGGTCAGTCCTGGTCGCAGTTTCACTACATGCTGCTGAGCCAGGCCCGGAATGAAAAAGAAGTGGATACCGTCTACAAAATCATTCACGCTTCCCGTCAACCTCCAAAAGTGTCTATCACATGCCACATGAAAGCATCGTACCTGTCTTGACAATTTCGCCCACGACATCATCAACGCGCACAGCATGCAGCAACGTGTGGTCTAGATCCAGCACTAGCGACAGCTTCTTCGCACCAAGCTGGCGTCGAATGTTATCCGAGTCGAACTTTTCTAATAACATGCCAGTTTACAAGCACCACATTAGTAGTCAACCACTTGCACGTAATAGGCCACTCTTATCGCGTATCATCAACATACTTGCTTCATCAACATTAAGTCGAATAACCTGTCCATGGGATACTACATTCACACTCTCCATATCTCCATTCTCCTCGTCGTCTTCCACATTTGCTAGACACATCAAGCAAGTGCGGCCATTGCGTACTGGATGGATACAATACTCTACAAAAGCCACTGTCCTTCTTATAGTGCCTGCACCTTCCATTGTATCCTCTCCAAGCTCTTCTGACTGCTCTTTTGATAGAATATACAGTCGTCCTTTGCATGGCGACTGTATCGGTCTCTGAGTACCGTCTTCTAGCCGTCCAATAGTTCCAAGTCTCTGTCCTGCATCCACCTCAGCTCCACCAGTCACCATCCACTCGATAGAGTCCCATAAAGCTGCATTTAAGCCAATAGCTTTACGTCGAATATGAGACCGATCTTCCTCCTGTTTCTGCTGTTTCAAGTCCTTTTTTCTCGTCTGTTTCACGTCTTTTACAGCAAGTGCCACGTCCATCGTCTCCGGCTCTTGTTGCTTCATTTTTGTCGCCATTTTCACTCCAATAGCTGCGATTTCTGCCTGTAAAAGACCATTTTCCTGCTCTATTTCGCTCGTCTTCATTTCTTCAGTAGACGACTCCGTTTTAACGACTAAAGCGTCATTTTTCTCTGTCTTGATGCTGTCGTTGTTCTCCTCATCTTCCTCTTCTTCTTCAACGTTTATTTGTCCAGCATCGGCAGCTCTATTCGCCTTAATACTTGCCGTCTCCTCACACTTTATACCGTTCGACGCCATTGTTAAAGCGAATGAAATATATAAAAAGTAAATGTAATTATAGGGTACTGTATTTACATTAGAGGACAAGAACGCTATCTCACATACAAAAACCAAGTATATAATACAGTACGGTGCCGTTGAAAATACAGAAACCGACTGGTTTTTTCAGTCAACGTAAAAACAAAATCAACATACGTTTAAACGTATTAATCATGAAGATATTCGCTGATTGGATTTTATTTATACGTACAACAGGGTAAAAGCTACTACTTTCTAAAATACCCCGACTATATCGATAGCAGAACCTCTGAAATCGTATAATTGATGTCTACCAACCAATCGAAGAAATACCCGACGTCCAGAATGCCGGCTTTCCAGCAACAGACAATCGTGGATTTTGTAACGGTAGAAGATGTTTCAGCCATACAACAGCAATTATTAGAAGTGCATAATGGACGGGGATTTTATGAAGAAATTCACGTGAAGATTCTAGAGACGTATCTCACTGAGCAAATGCAAAATTCCTTTGTCGACATTGATGCCGATTTGGCACTACTGAAGCTGTATCAACTATATCCGTCCACGTCCAATGTCGAGAATGTAGCCAATATTCTAATGAAAGGTGTCATGACGCTTCCCTCGACATTCTTTACGGGTGCTTCAACGATGATCCCAGAGAGTACAAGCGAGGTACGACATATTTCTTCTTGATTCTCTAATAAAGAATGAGGTTTCCATGCAATGCTGACAGAGGAGGAATTGTGTGCTGATGGTGCGAATACATACAGGATGTCAATGTGAAGGCAGCACTGCAGACAGGCTTTTTACTCCAGTCGTGTCTATTTGAGGATTTCTGGAAAATGGATCTGACGGTTGCGAACAAGGTGCAGGGATTTGTAGAGTCGGTCCGTGCTTACATTTTGACAGCCATCTCCCGTAGTCACAGTGTCATTTCGATCGACGTCTTGAAGGCCAAGCTCAATGTGTCGGACGAGGAAGTAGCTGAAATTGTCGCTGGTACGTAACAGCATGTCTCGTCCCCTTTTCATTGCATTGAGCTGAATTCTCGCTGTCTTTCGTCCCTTGTTTATATGTAGCGGAGAAGTGGACTCTTTCGGGCAACCTGATCCAGATTACTCCAAACGAAGATAATCAGATGCAGGCCAAGAAGGTCCAGGAGAACATTGAGTTTGAGGACGTGCTCAAGGTCATTCACACCCTTTCTAGATAGGTTTTGTTGTTAAAGGAGGTGAGATATCGATTGAAGAAGCGGGACCTGCAAGTAGCAAAGAACCATGGAAACAGGATTCGAATCGATTTGGCGCACCGCGTGTATGCACAACGCGTGAATGGATGGACGTACTACATTCTACAGATGTCTTTTGTTGCTTGCAGTCTGTGCTTCCAGATAAGTTAGCTCTCACTGACATGCTTGCAACTTGACAAGCTGTACAACGAACGAGCGACCGCTGAGAACACATTTGAAAAGCTACATGTATCTACCAGGTAGAAGCCCCTGCATCTTAGTTTCTCCACTAGTCTAATTGCTGGCTTCGACATCAAAAGTGCCGTTGGACTGTGCAGCCATGAGCGAGTCCATCATACCCACAACACCCAGCACTTGCTTCTGGTCGCGCAGCTCCTCGTTGAGTTTCTCAAGCAGCTTGATGAACAAGCCATCGATAAGCATGGACTGGCTGAGCTTCGGCGCATACAGGTCACATACGATCGTGCACACGTGAGTAAGCAGCAAGGCATACTTCGGGTCCGTCACGTATTTAATGAGAAAAGCTAGCAGCGGCTCGAGTGATTCCTCGTCGCGACCTCCTAGTGCACGTTTGAGTCCAACCCGCAGACGCAACTCTTCAAGCATGCTAGCGACAATGACCGGTGAGCGCGTATCCAGAGCCTCGTTCAGTGCTTTCTTATAGTCAAACTTTCGCAGGGCCCGGTCGTACGGCTGGATACGCTTATGACGTATCGTAGTCACCATGAAGTCCGCAGCAGCCGGTTTTGCATTCTTACCACGCAAAAAGTATTTGTAGCTGCCGCCGCGAATGATAGCTTGACGAGTTTTAAATTCATTCTGCTCTGCTCTTTTCAGAGTACGCCGACGCACAGACAAGATCCCGTCGACCGTACCAGCAAAAAGGTGTCCATTTGTGGGCGACATGCCAAAGGCTAGCACACCACTCTTGTACTTGAATCCGTGAGACAGTTCGTACGTCTTCAAATCGTAAATCTTAAGATGTCCATCGAGCGATCCCGACATTAACCGCGTACCGGTGCCATCTAGCCCCAAGCTCGTGATAGTCTTCTGGTGGCTAGAAAACGAGTGCAGCAGACGTCCACCACTTAGAATGTCCCACACCTTTACCGTGCTGCCACCAGCAGAAAGTAGTAAGCTACCTCCTGGCATGATCATACATGCCTCCACTGGAGCGCCGTGGTCCAAACTGACAGTGCTCTTGGATACTGTCTGGTCCGACGTGCGTAGGTCCCAGAGCTTAACAGTGTGGTCGTACGAGCCCGTGGCCCAAACGTTGTGTGATGACGGGTTGACTGCCGACGACCTCACGTAATCTGTATGATCTCCTAGCAGAGCCAAAGGTTTACCCGTTGGCAAGTCCCAGTAACGAGCCGTCTTATCATCGGAACACGAAAGCACGTGCACATTATCGAGCGAAAAACGGGTGCTATGGATAGCACCCGTATGACCCTTAAAAGACCGCAGAATTGCACGAGTATTGATATCCAGTACCTGAACAAAAGGTGCTTCTCCACCAGCGACCAAGAGCTTTCCATCCGATCGAAATGTGCCTGAATACACGACATCACGGAAGCGACTAAAAGTCTTGATAATTTCACTTGTCGTCGTGCTATAGAGATGAATCCGAGTAGAAGAAGTAATAGCTACTTGATATGGTGCTACAGGAGACACATCAATGTGTGTAACGGGTCCTACTTGCTGTAGTTCTTGAGGTGCATGGAACTTCTTCCAATAGGTATTTTCAGCCGTTTCTACTTCGTTTGTGGGCGGAAATTGCTTGAGCACCAATCGTTTGAATTCACCATGAGTTGCCATTGTAATCAAGACTCTTAATACCTGAAAGAAGCAAGAGAGAGAGAGAGAGAGAGAGAGAGAGAGAGAGAGAGACAGGAATCAAAGTGTCAACTCCACTTCTTGTGCTGATTAATGCGAACCAGCCAATAATATACCCAAAAAAATAATGGTAAGTACTTAAAATTCAATTATTGTCAACCAAAATGCTATTTCCATTATTGTGTAACGATCTGTGATATTTTTAACAATAATAGTAGTTTGACAATAGTACTATTGTAATGCTACCACTCATCACCATGAATATGCTATACCTTTGAAAGACGGCTCTGGCTAGCATCCTTTGAACGACGGGCACAGCAAGTCAACGCTATCAGAACAGCTGCTGCAATAGCCACTGCTAGTCCAGCTATCGCTAAGGTTTTACTCCAGTCAATGGCCATGTCAAGAAAAATATTTCGACACTGACCGTATGGAGAACCATTGTACACTTCACCTGGAGCACCTGTCGCCAGGAATCGAGCACACCATTTGCTCGTTACGACACTCCTGGGGCACTTTGTTTCCGCCCAGAGCAAAATCTTGTCATACTTGGCAAATGTAGACGACATCTTGCAGGCATCACATACTGTATTTAAGCCTTCCACTGCCTCATTAAGCTTACCACATAACGAGAGAACACCTTTTGTATCGGGTAGCAAGTTCACAAGCTCAGTCGGAGCATTCGGGAAAAAGTTTACATACGTCTCCTTTGCTGTAGCAGTGTTACAGTAATAGTATCCCTCCGCATAGCAATAAACTTCATTAAAAGTCGTTGCCACCTTGGTCTCTTTGTCATTAGCAGGAAAAGGAGCATTCTCCCATTCCGCCATCTTGGTATGGAACGTATAGGCTGTACCAGCCAAGACGCCAAACGCCGACATGGCAATGACCATCACAATCGAATACAGCCAAAGCAGCAGTCGATTTTGAATGATGGCACCCACAATACCCACAAGTGCCAAAGCAATAACAGCAAAGCCCAGTACTTGCAACATCGTAGTAGCAGTATGTGAAAACGATTCATAGTCCGTGCCCTCAAGTGCATCAGCCCAGCCACTTGTCTCGAGTGTCGAGCTATAGCGCAGTAGCATAATACCGCTCACTAGGAAACAGACGTTCACTAGGATCATGATGCAACCGGCCCCCGTAAGTTTTGGCATAGTTGATACTTAGGAATTTCTAGGAATACTACTGCTTGTTGGTTCAGAAGCGTTGAAATCGAGAAATGACTTGAGAAACACGAGGAATGATGAGACCACCTCCGACTCAAATCTCACAAGAAAACGGCTGTCTGAAAGGAAGTTTGAGATGATACAAGGACAAGCATGAAGCAAGTTTAGTTTAGAAGGATTCTGCATCCTCTACGTGACAGATTGATGCTTGGTAACCATGTTGCCATCGATTAAATTGCAGTGCGATGCCACTGACGTTAACGTCAGTCTTCTTAAAGTCTTTGTTGAATAACAATGACATGTTGTCATGCGTAGAAGTTTGTTAGCTCGTTCGATTGTCCGGCTGTCCAATTGCTAGGTAACACAGTAGACGCAAAGTGACGTACATTCGAAACCTACGCTTGTCCTCATCACAAAGATGCCTGTCATTTCGTTCGCCAACTCGATAACTTTCCATCGGTTTGAAAGAAGCGATTTTGACCCAAACATCTTCGAGTAAAGAAGCATTGGAACACGTGATTATGGGCTGCTTGAATGCTCTCGCGAAATGTGTGACCTTGCTACTATAAATCAGCATCAGCGTCTTCCTCGCGTTAGGTGGTAGTCTTATACTCTATGTAGCAGTATTCTTCCGCCATACAGATTGGGTGAAGGTCATTCAGGCCTATTGGTCTCCTATCAACGGAATTACCACGGCGCTTATCTGTGTAGCCGGCGTGGTCATGGGTATGGCAGTATTGGAAACAGTGGCTGCGTTGTGTCGCTGGCGAGCGGGACTGTATTACTATTAGATCTTCGTAGTGCTCGTGATGCTGCTGTCTATCATCGTGGGCGTCTGCAGCTTCCTGCTCTGGAGCAAATTCTCGGGCTGGAAGAACGACACGTACCCGGCCAGCAGGAGAGAAGCAGATGTCAAGGCCGGCTTTGATGAGGTCTATTGCTATGCACAAGGCGTGTCCATTTGCAACAAAGGATTGGTCTCGGATGCGCTGAGTATGTTCGTCATCGCCTTACATTCAACCGTTTCCTCTCAGTTCGAGAACGTCACGGGTAGCGTCAATGCACTTAGCAACGACTGGTTAAATGACCATGAAGAGCTCATAGATGTGTGCAACGGATGTGAAAAAGCACGCGAGTTTCAGCACTTTTCGTCTGTGCGCGAGTGGTCGAACGACAAGTGCCCAAGAGTATTGAGCACCTTGTCATGGTGTGGGGAATTCTTTCTCGATGGGAGTGCAACAAACATAACTAGAGGAACAGCACCTTATACAGAATACCGCAACGTATTTCTCAACCTTGTACGCAACTACGTCCTGTATCTGGCTATTGGCAGCGTCATTGTCATTGTCGGCTCGGTGGCGGTTGGTATCATGTCGTGTTATCTGCGTCGTCGAGACATGTACGACGTCTATGAAGCGTTTTAGTGCAGATAGAAGATTCTTAGTATTGCGTGCAGTAAAAACAGACACGTTGATCTATTCCTGCTGCGTCTTTGAGATGCCTCGGACTGGGTTTCGTAGTGCTGACCACGACAGCAAAACCACAACACCGTCATTTTGATCAGTGAAAATACTGGTTTCGAGGTCACTTGCTCTCCTTTAACAAGACAACGGCACGCTGAGACGTTGTAGTATTCGTCACCCATGATTTTTTCTTCTAGTCAGTGATGGATTGCGTGCAAACTCTATGCCTTCACTCCGAGAGCGCACACCTGAAAACGTACTAAACAAATACAAAATGGGACTCGGCAAATATGTGAGCTCGCTACTCGTGATTGCGATTAACTGCATCCTAGCGCTAGGAGGATCTCTGGTGCTTTACGTCGGGATCTACTTACGACATACGGGCTGGATAGAGGTGCTCCAAAACTATTGGTCTCCGATCAATGACATCGTCACAGCGCTTATCGTTGCTGGCAGTGTCATCATTGGGCTAGCCGTGCTCGGATCTATCGCTGCATTATGTCGTTGGCACTTTGGGTTGTATATTTACGCAGCTCTAGTGCTACTTCTCTCCATCTCGTTCGTGATAGTAGCGATGGCTACCTTTGTGTTGAGAAATCGTGCTATTGACTGGGAAAGCTCGACATATCCAGCCAACAGTGACGAGGAATTGGTGAAAGAAAAATTTGACCAAGTATACTGCTACGCGCAAGCCGCATATATTTGCAACCAGGCTTCAGTCTCGGACGCACTAGAAATGTTCGCTCCGGCACTGGACTTGTCCATCGCAGCGTTATTTACAAACATGACTGGTGGGGTCAATGCCCTTTGCGATGACTACTTGAACGACTACGAACTGATCTCGGGTGTGTGCGATGGATGCGACAAAGCACGACAATTCAAGAACTTCTCGTCAGTGATTGACTGGGCGAATGAAAAGTGTCCGAGGACTGCCAAGACATTGGAGTTCTGCGGCGTCTTCCTTAACATTGGCGACAGCAAGAGCTCGTCCGGAACGGCTCCGTATTCGGAATGCCGAATAGAGTTTTTGAATCTCGTGGAAAAGTACGCACTCTGGCTTGGTATCGCTAGCGTGATTATTTGCGCCGGAGCGCTCATGGTGATCACCTTTGTCTGTATGTTGCTGTTTCGCGATCAGCGCCCACTTGGCACATGGACTCTTCTCAGTACGCCAAAGCAGCATTAATAAGTATGATATTGGAAGCGTCAATTGAAGTTCCATTGACATGGTAGGATTGTTCGTACTTGCATTCAGCTTGCATTTTACATGATGATCAGGATCATGCTGAAGGAATTGCAAGCAGCTGAACATACTGCACGATGAAGTGCTTTACGTCTTCGAGCTGAAGCTAAGCTGGAACGATGAGGAGAATAAACTGACAGCATCACCTCGTGACAAGATGAGTGAGGTGAACGGGTCAACCGTGTAGCCTATCAAGGATCATTAAGTGGATGATGACGGGGCCACAATGACGAGTAGACTGAGCGACCTTTTTATCCTGAAGCCTTATCGTTGTTGGAAAGTTGAGGTCACTTATTGTACAATAGTGTTAGCATCCTATGCCTTGGAGTATTCGTCGCATGATGTGTGATCCGCTAACGGGGTAAGCGGGTATTCATCCGATTCTGCGTGGTTGCAGCCGATCTGCTGTCTGCGACTCAGACAGCACACGAAAATGATGAGCAGAAGAGCTCCGAGGCAAACGAGCACACTAGCGATGCCCAGATACAGTGAGTAGTCCTCAATGAGGTCTAGGAATTTGGCACGACACTGCGAATAAGGTGCCGTACCGACTGTGATGTTCGTACTAATACCAGCAATAAGTTGGCCACAGTACGTCATTGTCTCATTTGTTCTTGGACATTTGTCGTCCGCCCAATCCAAGACCGTGGAGTAATTCTTGAACTTGGACACCGTGTCACATGCGGTGCAGAGGCTCTCGAGTTGTCTGTAGTCGTCCAGATAGTCGTCGCACAACGTGTTGACACCGCCTGTAATGTTTTGAAGCAGTGACATAACCGTCGTGTTGATTTCCGGAGCAAACATGGTCAACGTCTCAGTAACCGACGCTTCGTTGCAAACAAACTCGCCTTGCGCGTAGCAGTAGACATTGTCAAAGTCACTTTTTACCGTCTCCTCCATGCTCTCTGCTGGGTACGTCTTGTCACTCCAGTCGTCGGCTTTACCCAACAGAATAAAGACGACGATCGCTACGACCACAAAGAAAAGCAAGAGTAGCACCATGACAATACCGTACGTGTAGATGACAAACTTCCAGCGACAAAATGCTGCAATGGAGCCTATTACCGCCAGTCCAATGATGACACTACCAATGACAATGAGTGCAGTCACAGCAATGTCGATGTTGGACCAATAGCCATGAATTACGTCCTCCCAACCAGCATGACGTATATGAATGGCCATATATAGTACAATAGCGCCTCCTAACGCTAGCACGCAATTAATGACGATCACGATCAACTCCATTGCGTATTGTTTGACACATGTAGAAAAGTCCATATCACTGTAGAGTGGAATTAAAGACTGGAGTGTAGAAGTACGTGACAAAAAATCAATATCACTGGATTTTAAACAAGTTCAAGGCTTATCATATATCACGTATCATGTTATCTGGATCATTTATCTTAGTAAAGACCTGCCTCTAAGTGTAGTTTTTGTATAACGTCATGTTAACACTTGTACTTTTTTAGTTATAGGGAGTGCTAGTTATCCCCCACTTTTTTTTGCTAATCAGCTTCCTCTTTAAATTTATCAAAATCTGATTTGTCCAAATCTTCAGCATCCCCTTTTCTCTTAGTAAAAGTAGGGCGTCGACAGTAATAAGGCTTGAGCGAAAAATGGGCAACCAGGTGCCAATGGGACGTGTAGAATGTCCAGAGCGAATGTTTAGGGCGAAAAAAACACAGTTAGGATTGTGTTCATGTTATGTGTTTACAAACTCTGAAGTCGATCGTTGTACGGCAATGTCGGATTTGCTAACAGACTCGCATAATACCCGAACTTATCGTCGTCAAGCACCAGGAGTAGATTTAGAATCAGTAGATTAGAAGGTCCAAAATTTATAATAATCTGACGTTTTGTAAATTTAATAAGATGCTCGGCATTTTGACCAATCAGATTTTATGGGGAGGCTGGGGTATAATATATGGCCGAGCTGTTACTAGTAATTGACTTTTCTCTAATTGGCGGTATGGGTCACCAGGCTACTGTTATTACTTTGTAGCTATTATAACTTCATAAAAACAAAGTAACAATTTTAATGGTTGTCAAAAAACCTGATTTTATGCCAAATGACAGGTATTTACCCTCGTTTTTCCATGAAAGTACGAATTCTATCGAATCGGAGTGGAGCACACAAAAACAATTTGAAAACACATGTACTCACGTGAAAAGCTCGAGCGGTTGCTACGACAGGCAAAGGTGACGACCCAGAGCATCCAAAAGGTATCACAATGGATGCTTACTCATCGTCAAAACTTGGCAGAAATGGTGACGCTTTGGGCTGAATTGATTCGAGAAGGCGAGGCAGAGCATCAGATTGTGTACCTCTACATAGCTAATGACGCAATGCAAGTGGGTGTACGCAAGTTTGGACGTCATATTGCTGCTGTTTTTGAAGAGAAACTGGTGGAAATTATACAACAAGTGATGAAGGATGGAGAGGAGAAAGTCAAACGTTGTGCTATTAAGATTGTAGGCATTTGGAAGGAGCGAGGGGTTGTCACGCCGTCTCTTTTGGCCATGCTGGAGAATGTTTGTGCAGGCAAACCGGCAATGTACGAGGATGTAGCGAGTAGTAGGAACTGTCACTGGAACGAGGGGGTTGTATTACTTATGCAGGGGTGTGTGTGTGTTAATGATGTAGAGTGGAAGTGCTTGAAGCTGATACAATGACAGAAGAAAAGACTGCTAAATTGTTACAAGAGATGACGAGTGATGCGATAGTGGAACGAGTATTAGAAGACATGCCAGAGGTCGTGGAAGCAACGACGACGACGCAATTGGCTGCGCATGTCCAGGATCTCGTCAATGCTACTATCAGTGCAGATATGCTGAGTGATAGGATGTTTCAGTTGGAGTCAAGTATCAGTGTCTTCCATCATGCGTGTGCGGAACAGGACGAGGAAGAAGATGGCGAGGTTGTTGTGGTGGGAGAAGAGAAGGAACAGACGTTTCCTTCTGTGGGGGGTATTGCTTGGAGTAAGATGGACCAGCACGCATACGATCTGGATGTTGACAGCAGTCGTGGCCATGTCGAGCAATATCGAAAGAATCTCATGGACCAGGCTGCGAAACGCGAAGCACTGATTAAAAACTTGCGTGGTTTGGAGAATATAAACTTGTTTGCATTCTCGCAAGGGGTGACAACTAAAGAAGAGGCAGATCAGCAGGAACGAGCACTGGAAAGACTGTATGCTGCAGCCTGTGAAGCGGAGACACTAGAGCTGAAGCAGCTTGAGGAACAACGCGCCGAGTTCCGTGCAAGACAAGCTTCCTTGGCTGCGTCTGCTTCAGATCCCTTGTATCCAGGATATCAGGCGCCTCAGGATCCGTATCGATCAGTTGCTCCGACGATATTGACGCGTGGGCTGAGCGACAGTGGAAACAACTTCGTAGGCTATCGCAGATCCTCTCACCAGGATGACCAGCTCCACCGATCATCTCCTGCGATTCGCCGCCACAGCAGCGCCTCCGCAGCAACGAACCATGACTTCGTGGACGCCCGGTACAACGACCAACACCGATTCGGCGGAGAGAACGACGGTTATGGCGGGCAAAGTGACCGCAACGGCGGACAGAACAACCGATACAGTATGGATTCGCCCTCTATGAACAAGCGAGTAAAGCTGCATCACTCGCACAGTGCGGAGCCCCAGAACATGCAGTGGCAGGACGTTTCTCGTCACTCGCCACCTCGGGGTGGAATTTCGTCAAATCCGTACGCTGCTGTGGAAAGGGAGCATACGGCATTCTCACCGCGTGGCAATCGTTATTCACCAAGGGACCACTACCAGGCCCCACCGCCGCAGCCACGCCAGGAACGCCGCACTCGATGGGACTCGATGCCAGAGGACCGCTACAACAACCACTACGACGACCGCCGCTGGTGACATGGTCATTGCACATAGACACATGCACATCGTCTTTCTAACAATATTATTATCATAAGTATTGCCGCCAGCCCGGCAAGCGCTGCGTAGCGCAAAGTGTAGCAAAAACAACAAAGCTAGAGCTTTACCTTGTACGCTACGCCGCTGCTTTGTCGCTGATAGTGCAATACTTCTTTTGGTATTAGGTTGGATAATGACGACGCTAGTCGTGTGCGTCCATCGTGTTTGTCATGACGGAATCAAGAGACGAGCAAGCGTCCTAATCAAAGCACATATTGTCGTTCTTGCAGTTTATGCATAAGTACTTGGCAAAGCTAACCTCTTTCGCAGTGCTAACCATCTCTTCAATAGCGTAGCTTGGCCGATTTCCGATCACAACAGTCCTATAGCTCCACGATATCACCCTCCACCTGTATCAGCTCTTGCCGGGGCGGCGGAAGAGTTGTACGAAGTGGCATCGACCGTACAAGTTTTGGCAGCTCTTTTTTAAAGCTGCTTGAGCTTGATGAGAGATGGTCTACTGAATCTGTACCTCTGATGGCCACCTCTTTCTGCGATTCCTCGTAGTTTCTTTTGTCAAGCGACGTCGAAGTCTTCTTGTCCGCTCCTACCTTTTCTTCGACTACCGGCGGTTTTTCCTGAGCATTAGGCTCTATGACACAGTCTAACGTCTGAAGAGCATCCAGTTTTTCCTCCTTTTCGTCCTCAGACACTTCGCTCTCCTGAAAGCTTGACGAGAGATCACTCGTGTCACTAATAGTCGAGGAAGGACAAGGAGACTTCACGACACTCTGTCCAGCAGCGATCAGGCGGCCAACTGGCGCCTCTCGAGCTTCCTCCTGACGACGTGTAACCTCGTTCTCGTCCTGCGCACCGCGCTTGACCCGAAAGAATACCATAAACGAGCTAGAGATGGAAGACGCTAAGCGATTCACGTGAAAATTCGTCACCTCACCGACCGAAGGCGACGCAAAGTACGTGTGGCAGGTACCACAACGCAGACACGCGGTAGCAGGCGGCACATAACACACCACAAGACATCCGGGACACTTGACGTGGATATTCACGCCCATATCCCGCGCAATAAAGTTCGTACTATCTTTCAGATCCGTAGTAATCTTGTTCAGAGTAGAGCGAATAGTGTAGTCACACTGCACGCATGTAAGATTGCCTCCATCGTTTAGAAAACCACATCGTGAACAGAAAATCTGAGCTGGTGCAGCTGTAGTCACCAGCGAATAAAAAGGAAGACGACACTGTGAACACTCTTTTCCTCCTCGTCGATTTTTCGTCTCACTATACCAATAACAAGAAAAATGAGCTTCGACACTAACAAAAAAGAGAAGAAAAAAAACTCGAGCATCTCACCAGCCGCCACATTTCCAGCTTCCGTCTGCCTGTACATCATGTGTCGGAGGTTTCATCTCCGTCCTGTGATTGACATAATACAAGACATAATATTTACAATGAAATGATTAGTAGAACATCAACAATCAGCAAATAAAAACGCTTTTACTAACCCACACATTCCGCATGAAGAGACGTCGGCGGCATTTAAGAACGTGCTGCAGTAACCAAAACACATCCAAAAGTCAACTATTACAATACAATACTACATGTAACATTTCATCAGCTCCTTCTACCACATGATACAAGCAATTTGCATGTTTTTCCCTCCTGCCATCGTCTTGTGCTCGAGTGCTCTACAAACAAAAATTGCATCGAAAAATTACATTAGAAAGTGAGAATGTCATGAGTAGAAAAAGACTTAGTAACAAGACAATTGAGACGTATACAAAACTACGTACATTTCAAGCTGACTGTTCTCCATGACGGCGGTTTATAGCGTTTTAGTTCGCTCGTCTCTTTTTTTCTTCTTCTTCTTCTTCTTCGTTTTGTGTCTGCGTAAATTGGCGGAGACTGTCGGTATTGTTTCCTCGTTTTAGTGACTACTGCTTCAACAATTCTTTAGCGCCGCTTTTTTGCACTTGTTGAACTGGTGATACTAAAGAGTATAATAAATGAGCATTTAAAATGGGAACATTTACTATTTTATAGGCAATAGGCTCAAAACGAAAAGCTTATTTTCTTTCTAAAACTTTAAATATTGCAGTGGTATGGCAAATTTTCCTCCGGAAGAATGATGGCACACTATTATCAATAACAGCAGCAGCTGCTACTAAGCATGAGCATTGAACAACTTGTAACTTGTAGAGCTCCAGACATTAATAAATAGAAAGAATGCATCGAGCACGAACACTAGAGTTATCATTGTCGTGCAATTGCTATAATTAACCTCAATGGAATCGCTACATTCAGATTCCAAGTGACCAACCACAATGTTGAACTAATTTCTGTCATTTGGATCGTTAAGAAATGCGTTTTTGTCTAAATTTAAGAGTAAAGGGTCGCTTTGTATGCGAGTACATTTTGCGATAGAATGCATTATATAAAAACGAGCCTTGTTGTTCATTTAACAGCTGCTCACAAGGAAAAGTAAGAAAAAAATTCACGCAGAAAACGGAATTGTCTGACGACCGTTGACGGTCTTGTCGACTCCTTGAGCTTAAATTTAGAAAAGTATAATCTAAATTTGTAAGGACGGAATCCTCGTATACTTTGCGACGCACTTTTTTACAAATTCTACATTGTTTTTTCGATGATGTTTTGAATTGGTCTAAAGACATTTATTAATTTCTTAGTAGCCAATCAAAATGTAGAAACATTTTCGAATGTGGCTGAGCTCACTGTCGCATCCCTTACATTGCTACCATTGACGAATTTTCGATGCCCGAAATGGCAAATCCTGGCTGGAAGACGCATGGCTACCATTGCGTTTTGCAAGTGGATCAGCTGATCTTCAACCTTTGACGAAAATCAATGTACTTGAATGTAGCATCGTCATACTCGCATTATACTCACTAAATGCTTGAAGCGTGACATGACACAGCAGCCAGTCTTGTCTGATATGTCAGTTTCCTTGTAACTAGACTTTTGCTTGCTGCGTTCGAGGCAGTGGTTCCTCTTCTTGCCTCTAGTGGCTCACTTTGCTGACGGCAGAAGAAGCACTACCTGTTTCGGTCCACCCTCTGTCAGCTACAGGGCGACCGACGATGTCGTACCCAACAGCATCGACCTTCAATATGCATCTAGTTTTCAATATTGGAGGCAGCATCAAAAATTCGAGCATTGAATTGCGGCCATCTTTGTATCGTAAGCGTAGGTAGACAGGATTGTGCATGCAATAGATTGCAATGCAAACACAACGATCGCTTTTATTTTTGCTACGCGACGTGTCGAACACCGAAACGATGGTCTTTGCAAGCTGTACCATGCACGTTGCAAGTTGTACGAACACTCGCTTCGATGACACCATGATGCGCTGAGTCAACGGATACTACTGAGCACCTAAAATTTTGCTGACTCAACACCTTTCGGCTGGCTTGATGATCTCCGCTCGCGGCAAGCGTAACTATCGAAACACGTGAAATTTTCTCGACGTTTGGTGCTCTCTTGTGGAAGAAAGAGATCCGTGGAAACCTATTAGCTAATTACATTTGCATCTCGCATTCACTGATAATGGTCACCAATGTGTATGCAATAATTCACAACAACAGTAAATGGTACCCAGCATTACCCATCAAGATGCTGCTGAGTATTACACTATCGCTGATTCGGCGCCACCAAGCAGACAAGCCAACGGAGCGCACCACTTGGATGGCAAACGGACGTCGATAGCGATATAATCTATCAGGTCAGAAACAGAGTTCTATGGAAATGAAGTCATTCCGGCAGACGAGCACTTGGCTGCACTTTGAGTGCGGTACGATAGTAGCACCGAAAGTTGAATCAACGCACGTATAAACACAAGATTACGAGCGCTATAGTCATAAGCGACAAAGCCATGGACCATCGGAAACGTTGAAATCGTGAGCAACCAAACTAATTGACATCGCGCGCACTGAACGTTTTCTCACGCCCGTCCCTTCCGACAGATGGCGCCTGCAGATCTTATTCTCTACCGTTCGAATCGTGATATCTACATAATATATTTGATAGCAGTGTATACGATATGAAAGGATCGTTGCAATAGTAAAATAAATTCTACTATCATGCTATACATAAGGGTATCAGATACTACAGTACACTGTCTGTAAAAAAATGATACATCTTGTGTACTGCGACACTCCGGCCAAGTGCGATGTGTCCTCGCGTTGGTTGGTGTGGGCAGCAGCGGGGCAGTGGGCGCAGCTAAAATGGCTTGTTTTTGTCTGATATCCCAATGCCCAGAAGGTAGGCACGCCACGCCAGTAATAGTAGCAGTAGCAATCCGCTATTTTCCGATCCCTCCCGCCTGCGCGGCCATCTGAGACGTTCCGGCAGACAGCCCACGCGCACAGACAAACAGAGCCGATCCTCGCCAAGTATTTTAGTCCCACCCACGGCTGGAGCCAAAGTGGCCGCTACGTCAGCCAAGAAACCAGCGAGCGAGTGAGTGAGGCAGCTTAATAGCAGCAACATCCAAGGGGATTCGAGCTCCTCTCCCCTCTCTGTTCGCTAACGTCGAACGCTTTTGCGACGTAGCGACAGCAGATGAATGAGCTCACGCCCAGTCATCCTGCGCCTTCGCCCTCACAGTCACGCAGTCTCGCAACGCCCTACGCCTTCTCCTCGAACGCTAACGTCGTTAACGTTGCTGCCATGGACCGTAAAAGGTTGGAAATGAATGTGCATTTTTCTTAAAGTTGAAGCGACAAGGCGTATGACGCTTGACGTCCGTCCCCCTTCCCCTTTTTGCTTGACGAAAGCAGTAGCTACTACACCTTGTCCCGTATGTGGTAGCATACGACCAGCTGAAGAATGACCAAATGAGACGAGGGGGAAGAAAAAAAACAGAAAGGGGGGATGGACTCGTCATGAAATTTCATTTGCTTGAGCGTATGCACTGGACCAATGTAACAGCCTCGTGACTAATTGATTTCGTGCCATTTTTTATGACTGTGACTGTAGTTTTCAAGGCGTTTCTCGAGGAAGTGGAAATCTGAGTACACCCAAGTATCAGACACAGCAGCAGCAGCAGCAGCAGCAGCATCAAGTGAACGAGTATCATACTGGATCATATGCATCTACAAACTATTTACACCTCAAGAGTCCGTCAGACAACCGAGGCAATCATGGAAACAAGTTTGATTATACGACATCCAATCAACAATACTCGCCACATCCAACACAACAACAGCAGTCGTATCCATCACCATATGGCTACGCAACGTATGGACAGAATTATTCTACCACTGGAGACTATTCACAGCAACAGCAGCAGCAACACCAGCAATCGCAGCAGCATCAGCATCAGCAACAGCAACAATCGTCACAGCAGCAGCAGCATCAGCAGTACCACGGAGCTTATGGACAAGTAGGTGAGACAAATCCCTTGGGTATGCTGGTGAGTTCGGCGACGAACCCACATGCACCTCACGACGCCATGCCGCATGATCATGTGAATATTGGGATCAAGGACACAGGAGACCGCAAGTTCAGGCAGCCGTACGGTGTAGTAGCAACCGACTCGTTTCTGAATTCCAGTGGCGGCTACGTACATGGCGTTGAGCGTCCTGGTAACGTGGTGCAGATCAAAACAATGTCCAACAGTTCGCAGCAGCAACAGTCAATGTACCAGCGCTCGAACATGTATGGCACGGCGTATTTCTCCCAGCAGCAGCGTACACAGGATACGTCCCAACAGCACAGTCCATTGGATTTGGTGCCTCCGAGGTCTGCAGTGAGAACTAACTTTGACAACGGAAATGTGACGTCTTCCAATATGGGACGTGGCATGAACAGCGGTGTCGGTGGCATGTTTAGTGCTGGATCGCGCATGCCGCAGTTCAGTTCTGGTTCTTCGGGCTCCTCCTTGACGACACGACTAAAGGACGGAGGTGTGGACATTTCAACTGGCGCTTCTTCCAATGGCAGTCACATGTCCTATATGCAGCAGCAACCTGCCGCAAAGTCACTTGGTCATACACACTCGACCTCGTTGTATGCAGATGTTGCCAGCTCAACGACGTCGATGTCAATGGTGAGCTTGTCATCGGAAGGTCCGACGGCACCAGTCAATGTAAATGCTTTGTACACGTCGTCGTTAGCACCACCTCCGACTCAACTCAACACAAGCGGTGAAGACACATGCGGGTTGTGCAGTGGGACACACAGTGATAGGATTGCTAACCATTGCGGCCATCGATTTCATGCCCAGTGTCTGCACACATGGGGAGGATTGACAACATGTCCAATGTGCGCACAGGTACGTACGGTGCCTGTCGGTGAAGTTTTTTCTGATGTTGTCGCTCAGGGTGTTTATGTGTTGCTGTTACGTATAGACATCAAACACTATCACAGGCCTTTCGCATATGAACGCCGTCAGCTATGGTACAGGAGGAGAGACTGTTTCTGCAATGTCACAAGGCTCGACAGGACAAGGAGATATGCCCTTGAGTAGTGGTGATATTATTAACAACAGCACCACTAATGTGGGCACCAATGCTGTGTCCATGTCGCCAAATTCTGTGGGATCCTCGCAAGTTGCAGCAAACAACAACCTGCAATTGAGCAATGCTATGTCAGGCGGGCGGCCTCCCCCTATTGACACGCGCAATTTTGATAACCGTCTGGGACCAACGACATTAAGCGGGGGAAAGCGTAGCGTATCGTCAACTCGCTCGGGTTCCAGTAGTGGTCGTGTGCGCAAAAATAAGAAGTTGAAAGACTGCTCTGTGCCGGGCTGTGACCGCACGGTTCGCTCGCGGGGACTTTGCAAGGGTCATGGTGGTGGCCGTCGCTGCGGGTTTGCTGGTTGCGGACTTAGCGATCAAGGTGGTGGCTTTTGCATTAGTCATGGTGGTGGTAAGCGTTGCCAGCACGAGGGTTGCGACAACTCGGCTCAGTCACGTGGGCTGTGCAAGCTGCATGGAGGTGGTAGTCGCTGCACGGTACCTAACTGCACTAAAAGCTCACAGGGCCGTGGACTGTGCCGTGCCCATGGTGGCGGTCGTCGTTGCATGGTCGAAGGCTGCAACAAAACGGATCGGCGTGCAGGCTACTGCGTGACGCATGGTGCAGACAAGAAGTGCATCATTCCCGAGTGTTCCAAAACGGGTCGCATCGACAATATGTGCACGAAACACTACTTTGAACGACACCCAGCGCAGCCACCAGGAACCGTGAGCATGACTCCTTCCCCTGTCATCACTGTGAATGCTAACACAAGCGCGGCAAGAGCTCGCGCTGAGAGAAAGAAAGCAGCTGAACAGCAAGGTACCGTTAACTATGTGGGCTCGTCTTCAGTGATGCTTGCTGGATCCGTTTCAACGCCCTTTGATGGACGGTTAGGTGGGGCGATGTCAAAAACTGAGCCGTTTTAGACCTCAGTCCAAAGGTGCTTGCAATGCTGGTATTGGAAGCTATCCGACTCATCATGAGATTGTAAAAATTGGACTCATGGCTGGATGTGTGGCATAAGGTGACAGTGGGGCAAGCGTGGGAGTGGATAGAAATGTCGGACGGACCGAGGAATGTATTTGTATCGAGGCAAAATGCACAAAGTGGAATTACATCTCAACGACTTGAGCTGGATGGAGACTGAAGCGAAAAGAGAATTGGATGGTCGGACCGAGAATGAAACGGGCGACTTACAGAAGAGAAAAAAATGAAGACGAGACGAATGAAGTTGAAGTGACAAAAACTGAAGATTGAAGACGCACAACGCGGATGAAAAATGGACAAAGTCCAAGGCCAGATGAATGAAGGAGGGCCAGTACAAAATTGCAAACTGTGCAAATTGCACTCGTGGCAGGCATCAAGTGAAATTGAATTACAACTTGGAAGCGAACGAGAGCAAAATGTGAAATGCAGTAAAGAAAAACAAGAAAGTTGATAAGATTCAGGGTTGCTCCTCGCTAAATAGATTGCGTACAAGTTTGAATGGGGCTGGGGATGCGTGGAATACCTGATCACAGCCAGAGAGGACGGACAGCGCAAAGCGAAGCTTAGCGAGGGAGCGACCCATTGCATATATAGGAAAATTCAAGTAGCGCAGTAAAGTGAGCACTCCTCAGAAATCAAAATTGGGGAGGATGTTGAAGAAATAACAAAGCTCACAGATGAATGTTTCAACTTGCGTCCACGTCCTTTCCACTCAAGACGGAACGTTTCTTTGCGTCAAGTCGCCTTTGATTTGACAGGTTTGCAGCTATATCGACTGGTGGGTGAGATCTTAGCGTCTCACTCGTGTGGAACTTCAGAAGGTGCAGTTTAGAACTGCTTGTCGCTGTTGCGACTTGTTTCGGTGAACAGTTGCAGCAAAACGGACAAAGTGACTGCAAACCGTAAGGTACAATGCAGGCGCTTCTGTCGATGCTGTCTTGGAAGAGGATGTACTCGACGAAAATAGCCACTGGAGGAGTCAAACACGCACTTTTAACCCCCTTCAAGCCCAATTTACAGCTACTAAGCGTAAGGATCACCCAGCTGAACGCGATCAGCATCAATGGTTTCAAGTCCCCAAGCAGCTTCCAAAGGTTTTGGTGCACTAGAACCGCTGCAAGTGCGAGTCTTGCCGACAGCAAGACTTAATAAGTGCCCGCATATACATCAACCAGGCTAGCAAGTAATGCAGATCCAAAGAACTCTGCAAGAACTAGAAGCTTACCAGCTTTGCCAACAAGTTCAGGAGCTCAGCCACTTTTGAACACCTTTAATCAGCGATTAACTGATACATGCTCGTTTAGCTTCCGAAGAGCGCCATTAATGCAGGCATCTGCAAAATCTTGAGCCTCAAGGAGACTTTATGGCTCAAAGGTTCTACTCATCTTGAATGTCGCGCATGACACGCTTTCCTAGTTCTAACGCCCTCCTCTTCTTCCAATTTTTGATGTTACTGTTGACAGTTGGTTCATTTGATCTAGCGACGCTTGAAAATCGAAACGCTTCGGCAAAACACGAGCATATTGAGCTCTTCATTATGAGCTCTTTCTTGGCAATTGTTACGACTCTTGAATGTTGTCGTAGAGCAAGTCGCGTTTGGCTTCTGACTGCATTTGCTTTTCGTTTTTCGAGTCACAAGAGTTCTTGTGTGTGATTGAGTTCTTTATCAGCAGCCTTATCTTAAGCATGAGCTACTACTCACCTTCTTGGTAACATTCCAAAGGTGCTGATAACGCTACTACGCGCCTGCTTTAGCCCTATCTAGCTTTTTAGCACTCCATAGTTGAGTGGATTGCCAACTCGCTAACACTGGCCTTGTTTAAGCTGGTCAAGCTCGGCATGAACCTCATTGCATGAGCTTGCTGCCGTACCATATAGCAAAAGCTCGTATTTTCAAGTTCCAACCTTGCTTCAAGAAGTGCTAGTCTCGCAGGCTCCTTAAACGAAAGGATGATACCAAGAACAAGCGTGCACGACGCACGGATTTAACGACCACTTCCGGTTCGGTAAACGTGGTAGCGCATTAGGGGCTGGATACCTCACTGTCTCTTGGACTCTAAAGATAACCCTTTGGTTCGAGTTATCGAACAAATGGGTAGCATAGTCCCTGACGTTCCGACAGGTCAGACCTCGAATCGTGCCATCTCACTAGGTGTCAATGGGCGTTGCTCCACACTATTATTGTTAATATGGGTGTAGACACACCGGAATCCAGCATACTAACCGACTTGGTCAGTGGCTCGCACCAATAGCGCTTTTGTTTTCTAGCGAAGGTAGGTTCATGAATCTATAAAGCCTCACTAGGAACATGGCACGTAGTGCCTAAGGTTTTTAGATTTCTAATCGATATAGGTTCATGGTGTTCCAACCAAGCCATACCAAATATGTCGATGGTGAACACATACACATTATACTCGTCTTGGCAAGTGCGGCTGGAAATAGCGCATACTTTTTCCTGCTTATTGCAGAATGTTCGGTTCGAATACACTGACGTCTTTGTCGACCATTTTTTGTCGATAGTTGATGATCCTACTGTAAAAGTTCGTCATGCCTGTGCTGACGGTGTTTATCTTATAGATGATTGAGGTCATATCTCGAGTACAAGTCTAGGACAAGGTATCGCTCGATTCGTCAAAAAATTCTAACCTAAGTTCAACCTTTAGGAACGATTACGCAAGCACCGGCACCTGTTGCGAAATAAACCGGGATAAAATCACCTTCTTGCTCTTTAGCGCCTCAGCATATCGCTGAATCCATTCAAGTGAAGGGCGCCGGACATAATTATCTGACGTCCTGAGTCCATAAGAATTGACCATAGCTTATTTAAGCCTTTGATGGTTGCCGACACAACACCAATAAGCCTGGCTTGTATTCACGCTTCTTGAAAACTTCCACGAAGTCTGGGGCTAAGCCCTACTCACCTCTACCTCCTAGAGGTTCTACAGAACTTAGTTCATTCCAAGTAGGGCTCCCTGCACCTACTTGGAGTCGACGTGTTCCCCAGCCACACCATCCTTTTTGGCTTGGGATGGGGTTCCGGTTCTGTCGATTTTAATGTTGCTTATGCAACGGGCAACTTGGACGGAGGTGCCTCATTCTTCCACACATGTGGCATCTACGGATGTAACGTTGATTCTCTGCTTTTTAGCTCAGCTTCTTCAATTTCAGCATGGCTAAGGTCCATGGACTCAGCCCTATCAAGTGAACATGAATGATACCCATGTGTATCAAAGCAAGCCGCATTACATGTGAAACCGACGTTTAACGCGACATCAAGAGCCTTTTCGAAGATCAAATGGTGGACACGAAAGACTTCCGTCCAGGCAACTCCCGTGCGAAGACCCAAAAATGGCCACCCGGACCTCTTCTTAGAGCAAATTCAGCTGCATTGCAGCGAGGAGAGTGCTGATCTCTTAAACATGGTCCGACGATTACTTTTCTTGTCGGAAAGACCCAAAGCGTTATCGCACGCGATAAGCCTGATATGGCGGAAGAGCCAACAAGCTTTTCTTGCGCCGTCGCTTCTTCACGACGATGATGGAGGAAGGCGTACTTAGTCACATCAACAAGCTCAAGACGCTAGCCGAGCAGCTAGAAGCTGCGGGTGCTTTAGTGTGCGAGGACGATCTAGTGTTCACGTAACTTGGCAGCCTGAGCGAATCATATAAGTTCTTAATCACGGCGCTGGATTCGCGGTCTGACACTCTCAAATGGGAACTCGTGACGTCCCGACTGCTTCATGAAGAGATGAAGCGCAAGGAGCACGAGGGGAGTCGATAGAGCTACGCAAGTTCATGCATTCATGACAAGAGACAATCAACGTAAAGGACGACCAGTGAAGAAGACTGGTCCGTGCCACAACTGCGGAAAGATTGGCCACTGTATCGCGGAGTGTCCCTCACGTACCTAAGACAACGCTGACAGATATCGTCCGCAGCGCTTCCGAGACAACGCTGAGCGATAATGATCGCAGCGTGCAAACGTCGTTCAAGAAGAGGATTCGGACTACTATTTATTCTCAGTTGGTAGGACAAAATCCACCAAGTCGAGTGACGTCTGGATGATCGACTCTGGTGCGACGCAGCACATGACGCGCTCCAAGAAGTTCATGCGGAACTACAAAGCTTCACTCCAGTCGACGTTCACCTCGCAGGCGACGGGATTGTGCAAGCCATAGGAAGTGGTGACATCATCATGTTAATAAAGACTCCTCAAGGGATGGTGAATGGTGTACTCACCAACGTGTGGCACATCCCGAAATTGTTTAGAAACCTGTTTTCGGTCGGTCGTTTTACCAAAGATGTTCTGGTGGAATGGATTTTTAAACAACGTAGGAGAACCACAAACACACACAGCGCCGGACTGCCGACTTACGGAGGGGGTACCCCGATACCGTGTCGTGTCAACCTTGGGTCTCACCTTGTGTGTCCGTCGGCTTGCTGGTCTTGCTCCTCGGTTGACGCAGAAGACTTAAAGACTTGGTCTCGTATAGAGAGACTTGGTGTTCCCCGAGTGAATATACTTCACTTGGGACCGGGTTTCTTGAGCTCGATCGACTGAGTCGAGAGCGATGCACCTGGTACTATGTACCCCTTTCGGTGGCTAACGGTTCTTGGTCCTTGGATTCCTTAAATTTGTTCCCCGTAGGGAAACCGCTTTTTGTAGCGGGTCTTGGACGGGTACGAATTCACTGGCCAAAATATTTCCTGGGGTTCGTTCGAGCTTGAAACTTACCACACGACTGTCTTCAACGGGGGGGGGGGGGCAAAATATATTCCTCCCCCGGAACAGGTGGGTAGATCGAAACAAGTTCGCACTTAAGTCTTGACACTTACTTGACACTTCAGCCAACTATCCTGAGGTTCAACTTGCGTTGCCTGAGCCGTCACCTCACCTGACGTCGGGAGGCCAAGGGGTTTCCCGCCCAGAATAGGTGAGG